TATTAGTAGCTACGCACGGAGTCTCGTCACCTCGTGCGTACGTAGCCCCCACAAATAGGATCACATAACTAATTATTTCACCTATGGGGACAATTCCCTCTTACAAGGTTAGAAAGGAGACTCACCTCGCTCCGAAGATCCATATCCGGCCTTCCACGCCCTTCCGAAGACTCAAATCGATGCTACTTGCTCCAAAACTAGCCAATAGTTATGTAAATCTATTAATATATGCTCAAGTGCTCATTACAATCCAATTTATAACAATTCCTAACCCCGATCGAAAAGTTGACAAAAATGCCCTCGGGCCCACGTGCCCGGATCCCGAAATTTTTTGAAGATTAAGCTTACCCATGACTCCACGAACTCAAATATATAATTTACTCTCAATTTCATACCCAAAATCGTGGTCAAATTCCAAGAATATCAATTTTCTAGGTTTTCCTCAAACCCCCAAATTTTCTACCAATTTACATGCTAAAATCCATACATAACCGATATATTTAACTCAGATAGGTGGGATTAGCTTACGTTGTCGTTGATGATGAAAAATCCCACTTGAAGCTCTCCAAAATCGTCCACACCCAATGAAAAATGGGGAAAATGAGCAAACCCCCGATTTTAACAGAACCATTCTACCTCCAACACTTCCGCACCTGCGGTCCCTTGACCACTTCTGCGATTCCGCAGGTGCGGCACTTCTACCGCTTCTACGGATATCTCAGCAGCCCTTCATTTCTGCTTCTGTGACTCGACCACCGCAGGTGCGGTCCTGCTTCTGCGGCTACATGACTGCTTCTGCGGTCCCTTCACTTCCAGTCCAAAACGGCATCTGCGGCTCTTGTGGCCGCTTCTGCAGCTCCGCACCTGCGGCCCTAGTCTCGCAGGTGCGGTTATACCAGCAACTTCAGCCTTTTCCAAAAGTCCATTTTCGATCCGTTAACCACCTGAAATCCACCCGAGGCCCCCGGGACCCCTACTAATCATACCAACCAGTCCCAAAACACATTACGGACCAGCTCGAGGCCTCAAATCATATCAAACAACGATAAAACCACGAATCGACCTCCAATCCAAGCTTTATGAACTTTAGAATTTCAAACTTCTACTTTCGGTGTTTAAACCTACCAAATCACGTCCGATTGACTTTAAATTTTGCACACAAGTCATATTCGACATTATGGACCTACTCCAACTTTCAGAATCGGATTCCGACCCCGATATCAAAAAGTCCACTTCCGGTCAAACTTCTCAAAAACCTTCAAATTTCTATCTTTAGCCAAATGACTCCAAAATGACCCACGGACCTCCGAATTCACTTCCGGTTGCGCTCCCAACACCAGAATCACCATACAAAGCTACTCCCAGACTCGGATTCCCAAACTGACGTCGGTAACACTGAAATGCATTGCAACCCAAACTTATGAAATTTCTTCCAAAGTGCTAACTTCCAAAATAGGCGCCAAAACGCTCCCGCGTCATCCAAAACCCGATCCGGGCATACGCCCAAGTCCGAAATCATCATACGACCTGCTGGAGCTTTCGAATCCCAATTCCGAGGTCGTTTACTCAAAAATCCAATCCTAGTTGATACAACTTAAAGCTTCCGAAATGAAAATTCTCCTTCCGAATCAACCCCGAACTTCCCGAAATTTAATTTCGCCCACGCGTACAAGTCGTAATACCTGAAATGGAGTTGCTCATGGCCTCAAACTGCTGAACGGCGCGCTAGGGCTCAAAACGACCGGTCGGGTCGTTATATTTTGTATTTATTTCAGAAGCAATTTTCTTTGCATAATTATGGCAATTAAAAATCCTTCTTCTCTATATTCTTTTAAAAAAAAGAAATCAGGCATCTAGGTTGATCTATTGGTACATCAATATGCATATTTATTGATTGTAAACTTTTGCTAACTGAATTAACCGCAAAGAATATATCATACCAAATAGTCATATCCAATAGAAGCTCAAAATTTTCAAGCTCATAAGTTGCTAAACATCGCTTTTAGTTTTTGGATCCTCACTAACTTTTACTAATTTCAATAAAGCATCTCTTATCCGTGGACCTTGAAATCTTATTGCTTTAGTACTTTCAATGCGACTTTCCCAACGTGTTTGTGTGATAATGAATTAAGAGTTAGGTTGAGTACTCTATCTTTTATGACTTTCTATCATTTAGTAGAAGAAGAAAACAATGAATATATATATATATATATATATATATATATATATATATGAGTACTACTCCAAAATATGATATACCTTTCGTACAAGAATTAGCCATATCACAAAATACAAAAGTTAGATTATGACAATCACATGGTGAATAATATGATCTAGTATTTATGTCGAGCTGCCTTTTTATACTCATGGTGTTTTCTCTTTATATTGGATCCATTATTATATCCTTGTCCTCTTAAATTATCAATTTCAAGTCCAATATAATTATCTCATTTATTATAACTTCAAAAAGACCTTTTCCACTTGCATCATTCATTTTTTAAAATTTTTTAAAATATATTCAGTATTGTTATTAGAGTTGTTAAAATATCTACTCTACAACGTGAAAGACATTTTTCTTGCATGATTGGATCATATTCTGCAATTCTTTTAATTAAACTTAATAATATGCTCTTTTGATGTTTCATAAGCTTTAAGCTTAGCACTTATATTTCTCAGTCTCTACTACTATCACTAGCTAATTTACTTCTACAAGTAATAGAAGTTGTATTAAACAACTTACAATAATAATAAAATATTTTATTCAAATCTTTAGAATAAACTAACCATATTTTCTTTTTTCATGAAAATTATACTTTTTTAATATATTATAATATTTTAAAAGAAAAACTAACATATACGTCTATTTAATATTAGGAAATTTTGGGCTCCCCATAGGGGTGGGGCCTCAAGAAGTTGCTTGACTTGGGCCTTACCTGCCTTTGTTAAGGACAACCAAAGAGATGCCTTAGGGGGATTTGCAGCCGTACCTTATATTTGTGCCACCTTTTAACCTGTACTCTATTTTTAAAAATTATTGATTTGGTAGCCAGCTGACAAAAAATTCGTAATAATATGATAATTTATACCCCTGACAAAAGATATAAACCTGCATCACGCATTAATCGCGTGGTCTGCTATCTCATTCATGAAAAAAGATCCCTCCACTCCTCTCCTCTCAGCAACTTTACCAAATTACCAGAAACTTGAACCAGATTCATCTTTAGAATCACACTTGCATGAAGTTGTTTGACGGATATAGCATGAAGTTTTCGCGTTGAAGTCTGAAGTTTTAATCAAATACAAGCTTTTGTTTCACGTTGAAGCTAAAACTTCATGCTAATGTAGCATGAAGTTGTTTCACTGAAGCTAAAACTTCATGCTAATATAGCACGAAGTTGTTTCACATTGAAGCTAAAACTTCGTGCTAATGCATGCTGAAGTTATTTAGTTCATTTGCTAAAACTTCATACCAACACATGCTGAAGTCTACAGTTTTGTCATGAGTTTTATCCGAAACTTCAGTCTAAATATGCTGAAGTTTTTTAGTTCATTTGCTAAAACTTCAGACTAAACATGCTTAAGTTTTGTCCTGCAGTATGTAATTTTCTAATGAGCTTTTGCTAATGCATGCTGAAGTTATTTAGTTCATTTGCTAAAACTTCATACCAAAACATGCTGAATTTTGTCCTGCGGTCTACAGTTTTGTCATGAGTTTTATCTAAAATTTCAGTTTAAATAAGCTGAAGTATTTTAGTTCATTTGCTAAAACTTCAGACTAAACATGCTTAACTTTTTGCTAATGCATGCTGAAGTTATTTAGTTCATTTGCTAAAACTTCATACCAAAACATGCTGAAGTTTTGTCCTGCAGTCTACGGTTTTGTCATGAGTTTTATCTGAAACTTCAGTCTATTTTGCTGAAAGTAGTCTTTTATTAAAGAAGGAAAAAATTATCTTTTTAAAACGCTTTTAACAAAAAAAAAAAACGGGTACGGATACAAACGGAAAAACAAAAAGGGTAAAAGTTAAAAGGGGGCCATTTTTTTTTAATTATAAATTTAGAATTTGAAGTTAGTGTTTCGAAGTAGATGTTGTTTATTGTATCTATCTACTGTGTATTCAGCTTCTTGCTCTCCAAGATTACTACAGGAGATGTTTCAATTATCCTCCACTTATTTCTAAAATTGGTGCCAAAATAATCATAGGCACATCACACATGTCCTTTACAAATGTAATGGATCCCACAATAAATAAAATATACGTTTGGGACGTTGCTCGGATATTTCTTTCATTAAAAAATTATATTGTATATATAGCTAAAATACTAGATTTTGGAAGTAAATAACATATATTAAACACCCTTTGTCGGGGAATTATTTTCACTTCTTTCAAATTTAAATATCATTGGAGGAATTTCTGACTTCGCCATTGCTTATAAGTTATGTTATAACTTATAAGTGGGGCTCATCAAAAGGAGGGAGGACAAGTCTTTGAGAAAACAATTTTACATAGCAAATCATAATTCTTGTGAATTCATCTTTTTAAATGAGATCATTTACGTATCATAAACACTCACATATATCATCATAAACATTTAAACTCACATGCATTTGATAAATAGTACTCCTCTGTTCCAATTTATGTGAATCTATTTGATTGTATGCGAATCCATTTGATTGAGCACGGAGCTTGAAGAAGAAATTGAAGACAATTAAAACTTGTGATCCTCAACAAGCCATTACATTTGGGTGACTATCTTTTGAAATTTGTGGTGTTAAATATGCCTGAGTAATTATGTGACTATAAAAGTTTCTCATTGAGGATATAGTCAGAAGTTGAAGTTAAATTATTTTCAAATTTAAAAAAGAATTTCTTTTTGGAATGATCCAGAAAGAAAATAGGTTTATATAAACCAGAACGAAACGAGTATTTAAGAGAGGGTTTGAAAGCCATAACACTTGCCTGTAGGTCTTAAGCATGTCCACTCTTACACTGGGGAAGTTCCTATCAGAAGCCAGCATTCCATCATATGTACATTATGATGTCCAATCAATACCCACGGGATCGACTATGGAATAGTGTCAAGTGGTAGTACAATACTGTCAAAACTAGATTGCTAACAATATCCAAACTAACAGCAAACATCAGCTAGATATCCTAGCAAGGATACTCATAAATGAAAAAGCCTAAAGGCTAATCTTAGAAATAGATAACACATAAACCACTAGGTAGCATGGTCTGTTTTTACTGCCTGGAACCAACATTGTGTCATAAAGTTATCAGTCTCTTTAGGATCATCAATTTCAATATATACAAGTTTGTTCTGCACACAAATGGCAAACTCCTGAATCAACCATCTCAGAATACATTTCCTAGACTAATTTATCTCACCTAGGAGGTAGGATAAAATAATACCAAGTTTGACGGGATAAGATGAGATATCCTGGATTAAGTTTGGGACAAAGTTTATACTATGTTTGATTGACGGTGATAAATTTATATCGTCAGCCAAACATAGTAGTATAAATTTAGTACCATACTTTATCCCACCTTAGCCCGCGTACCAAATGACCCCTAAATGCATAGACAAAATTATTATCGTCTTCTAGATGTGCTGAATCAGAATTCCACTCTTACTCTCTTAAAGCACATTGGATTGTCACTTCATCTTCACTGTCAAAACTAGGAGAAGAACTCACAGACAGAATGAACCTGGCCATTCTTGTCTTTGTATAACAGATGAACTCCACATTTCTTAACAAAATCTTCAGTTGGAAAGTCATAGCATTCAATATGAATGCTCATCATTTCTCTGCCTTTAACCGGACATTTGAAGTAAATTCGTGGTATGTAATGGATGGACGAATTTTCTGCAAAGGATATGGTTGTCCACAGACGATGGTTAAACTCAACGCCATTTGTTTGATCGACAATGGTGGCTTTAGGATAAACATTTTTAGTTTCATCCACTGTTCCATAAACAACCCAAAGAAACATGCCCAAGAATGTACTCTCCCCCTGTAAAGGCATATTGAAGCACATTGAACATCCATCTACTTTGTAGCTAAACCAATTCGGAACATTGCTGTTGCAAAGCCCTAGTTGGAGCTCACTACCATGTTCATAATGGGCCTGTTTCATGATCATCATGATAAGTAACACAATAAGATAGATTAAATACAAGAATGAACCAAACAAACAACAACATGTCCAGTATATTCCCGCAGGTGGGGTCTGGGGAGGTAGTGTGTACGCAGACCTTACCCTACCTTATACAGGTAGAAAGGCTGTTTCTAGAGACCCTCGGCTCAGGCAAGCACAGTTTATAGGAAGAAGGGGGGGGGGGGGGGGGTCTGTAAAATGAACCTCTTCAAAAGATTTTAAATGTTGAAAACTAGAAAGTGCAAAGCTAGTAGAGCAGGATCAGCAACAGCCTAGTCCCTCCCACCAGCTCCATCTAGAGTAGAACTCTATACTTACTTTGAAGAAGTTTTCAGTGAAAGGATTTTTGAGAGCCTTGCAATTGAATAAGTTGATGTAGCGTATGGAATGAAGGTTCTCCAAGCCGCGAATCTCTATCAATCTTTCACAGTGACTAAGATCCAAGTTCTTCAATTTACTCAAGTTAGATACGTCGAGTAGTCTTCCAAAACTCTTGCAGCTCCATAAACTTATTCGTCTAACAGAATCAAGGTTCTCCAAGCCTTGAATCTCCGTCAACATTTCACAACAATACAATTCCAGTTCCTCCAACCTTTTCAAACCTGACAAATTTGGAAGTCTCTCTAATGACTTGCACTTATAAGCTCTGAGATTCTGAAGAGTGGGAGGAATTTCAGGGATACTTTTAAGATTCGGACATTCGCTTAAATTTAGATACTTGAGACTAGAAAGGTCACAAAGGTTGAAATGTATAGCATGAAACTTATTATTGCTAAAACATAGATTCTGTAAAGATGATAAGCTCGCAAGAGAAAAAGGAATATCATCTTCAGTCATATTCCAGTTCTCAATTTGTAAAACTTTTAAAGCACTTAAACTTGAAAATGAAGAAGGTAAATATCCCACTCTACTATGGCTTCTTTTTGGTTGCAACCAAGTTGAGAATATGTCCGAAAATTTGGATTGTCTTTTCAATAGGAAGTCCTGTGATAGCAATAGCATCTCCAAGTTCTTTAAATGTCCAACAGAACCAGGTAATCTTGTGATAGCTGTTGCAACTGCATTCAATTCTTTCAGACGTTCCAACTTTCCCAAATCGTCAGGCAATTCTTCTAGTTTTGAGCAGCGATAGAGATATAAGATTTCAAGTGATTTTAACTCACAGATTCTTCGTGGGAGTTCTCGTAGGTTCTTACAATCAGCTATGTTTAAAATACGAAGTCTCTTCAGTTCTCCAATTGTTGAGTCCAACCCCATTAAATTTGAGCAATAACCAAATGATAACTCCTCAAGACTATGTAAACCAACAAACTCTGGGGATTTCTTGAGATCCTCACAACTGTAGAACACCAAGCTCTTCAAACACTTGAAATACTGATTGCCAAAAATAGAACACAAGTAAGAATGATAGTAACAAGATGTCCTCTTCGTTTAATTTATTATAAAAAGATCAGAAATGCAGTACTGAGAACACGTGCCAAACCTTTAAGGGCGCTTGAGATTCCTTAAATTTGCCAAAACTCATGTTGAGAATGACAAGATTCTCCAGACAAAGGTCAGATGGCAAGCATTTCAAAGGACAATAGTGCCAATGCAAATATTTTAGTGACTTGGGTAGATACTGAAATCTTCCATATAACTGCAAATGATTGATGTGTAGGAGTCTTAACTTGGCCATTTTTTCAAATGCTTTTGTACTAAAAGGTACATCCTTCAATGCTGAAGATTCAAGGACTATTCCTTCAACTGCTTTTGTGCCCTGTAGCAAGGAACAAGGGTTACTCTTGTTGGGATCGAAAATAACAAGGCGTCATACGGAAGCTAATAAAACAAACCTCGGTGACTATAAATCAGACAATAAGAAAATCAGGACAAAATCCTAACAACATTAACATACCAATGGCGTCTATGGGAAGAGAATTATTGAGAAAGGAACAACCTCTATAAAGTAACTGAAGGGAATGGTATGATACCTTGTGTCCTATGAGTACATCAGAAATGTCTTTAGGGCACCATAATCTGCTACGCTTCCCCGGGTTATCAGGTGATTCGCTATGAACAATTTCTCGTCCCATATCCCGGATCAAATTGTGCATGTTCAAATGCTTATTTTCATCGATTGTTAACAAAGATTTGTCAATCAATTCGCAAATTTCAACCTCAGGGTAGAAACCGCAAGCTGTAAATATTCCTACTACCTCACTCTTCTGGATTTTGAAGAAGAAACAAGCAAGATCAAGGAAAACAGCTTTTGTAAAATCATCAGGAAGTCCATCAAAGATTATTCTCAGTTTTGTATGAATATCGCTAGAAGGGATCGTCTTTAATTTGTCCAAGGCATTTTTCCATTCTTCGATCTTTTTATCAGACAAATAAGCTCCCAGAACTTGAAGAGCCAGTGGAACTCCTGCACAGTAAGTTACAATGCCATCGACATGCATACTATAGTCTTCAGCCGGTGGTGCATTTCTAAAGGCATGTAAAGTGAAGAGTTGTAAAGAGCTTTTGTGATCCAATTTCATGGCTTCATATTGCTCATTCATTTGTAATTCTTTGAGCAAATGCTTGTCTTGGGTTGTTATAACAACTCTACTACCCGGGCGAAGCCAATCACGTTCTCCAAGTAATGCATTTAACTGGCATTGATCATCCAAATCATCAAGGACTATGAAAACCTTTTTCTGCCAGATCCCTTCTTTGATCAATGTAATACCTTCATCCACATTGTGCACTTTGATCTTTCTCCTAAGAATCGTCCGAAGAAGTTGCTCTTGTAAATGAACTAATCCATTAGGGCTTTCAGAAGCCTCCGATTTCACATTTTCAAGAAAGCAACTTGCCTCAAAATGCTGAAGAACTTGGTTAAACACAGCTTTTGCAAGAGTTGTTTTGCCAATTCCACCCATGCCGTAAATCCCAATCACACGAACATCATCGCAGCGTCCTTTGAACAATAACTTCTCTATTTGATTAACACGGGGAAAAAGTGCCACAGGGTGCTTGGTAACATAGAGGGGTGTTCGAGATTTGACTTCCTGTAAGACCTCCTCGCTAATAATATGGATAAATTTGGATTCAAACCTGCAAGTGAAGCAAAGCATCATTTTTGTTTCTTTAGTGAAAAACAAATTCATCCAACTATAACTTTTTCACTCAGAAAATAAAGTGCACCACAATAGCGTCATTATCTCCCTGTTGGCGTGCCATGTCATATTAAAAATTCATTTTTTATTGATATGACCCATTTAACTACATGAGAGCCTGATCCGGTAACTTCTTTCCTCTTTTTTGGGGATCAAATAAATGAAATACGCCTTCAACCTTTCTTAAATAGTCGCTGATCATACAAGAAGTTCATTGCCATCTGAGCATCGCATCCCAAAATTGTTGAAGAAGGCCGTACAGAACTGGACATTCTAACAGCTAATTAAAAGCTTCCAATTTTTCATCATTCTCTGGTCGCCCCTGTCCAGCTGAACTGGACATTCCGAAGTTTGTTGCTAGACATGAATATGGGACTACCATTTGTGAGCAGTAAAGTGTTCTGCTTGGCTGCCACAACAGTACTCTTGTTCAAACCACATAGGAGTGCTTGTTGAGGACTATGAGAAACTATATCAAGAGGAGCTGATTGCAACAAAATTTCAGAATGTCCAGTTCGGTTGGACAAGGTCGGTTTAACATGGTATTAGACTAGATAGAGGTCCAGAGTTCAATTCTTAGTGTCACACATCTACACTACATTAGAAGTACGAAGGCCCTTAGTGAAATGTCGTTCGCCTTTTTTACCCCTTAAAAATAAAGTTTACACTAGACATAATAGTCATTTAATAATTTTTTCCTAATATTTAGGATATTGAAAATAAAAAACAACTAAAATTTTAATTACTAAATTTTTCCATATTTGAAATATATAGGAAATCCTAAAAATATGTAATACTTGGAAACATAATTAAAGAACCTCGTATGGTACACTTGATGTAGGCGCTTATTTGAGTTCCTACCATATAATTAAAATATAATTAGCATAAAAATACTAAAACTTTAAATTATAAAATTTAAAGGTTAAATAAAATGTTGAAATAAATATTAAGAGTTCAAAAAAAGTCAATTAGATAACTTCGATAGCTGGCGGAAACACCAAAACTCAAAGTCATATTTCTCATTTATTGAGCAAGCTAAATATGATCAATATTTATTATTTTCAGTAACTTATATTTTCAAAAAATTTAATTTTATAATGAAAGCATATTATTTTTATACCGACTAATACACGCACAAAGCGCGTATCATAAGACTAGTTATCAAAAAGAATTTCCATAGGCTTTGCCCATAATTTTAGATGAGATAGTCAGAGTTAAACATGTCTCCCCCTTCCCCAAAAAAGAAGATGAAAATCTATATACAACGTCACAAAGAAACGAGATTATAATAAAAGGAAATATTACCCTTCAGCAACATGCCTGAGATCCCATCCTGATAAATTACCAACTCTACTGAGTGCAGCTCTCCATAGTTGAATGTTTTGCTCTGATTGAGAACATGTTCCGTGCCTTTCAAAGGCTTCAGCGAAGATTCCAGTTTGCTTGCGCGCATCAGAAGGGTCAATATCATAGAATATAGGAAGAATTAACCGTTTGGAATTCTTCTTGACCTCAAGGATATGTACAAGCTCATTAAGACACCTTCTAGATGAGGCATAGTTTTTGGAAAGAACAATAATAAAAATGATTGATCCTTCAATTGCATTCATGACTACTTCAGAGGAAACATGTTCCCCCTCATCATCAGTTCTGAATGTATTGAACCCAGCTTGGCGGAGTGTTAAGTATAGTTGATCTACAAAGTATTTTGAAGTATCACCACCACTACAATTCAAGAAGACATCATATTTCCAAGGGAGAAGTGCAAGTGAAGGCTGAGAATTAGACGATTGATCTTTGCCTTTCTGATCAGCCATGTACCGAAGTTGGAGTAAATAAACTTGTTCTGATGCAAATTGCAAGATAGCTTTTGATACAGAGAGAACTCTATAACTAAAAGTGCCTCAAAATGATGACTTTAGTTTCTCAACTATTGTATTGAGTACAAGTAACTTCACTAAGAAAAGAATCACCTACTATTTTTGAAGCTCTCTTGAATTTAAAGGATCTCTCATGATTTACATTCATTTAACTGTTAGGCACAACCCCTTAAAAGCTTTTCATTTCTCAATTATAACCTGCTTCTTTTGTCCCTTCTTTCATTCTCCTTATTTAATTAATTGCTTAGTTATCTTCCTTTAGTAGTGGTATATGACTAATTAGGTTGGTAAACTTGGTCTTTCTGGTTGATTAAATTAAGAAAGATGTTCCAATTTTTTAAAGTGATTATTCTTGACTGTGTCGGAGACCTCAAGTCCTCAACTTTCTTTCCCTTTCCCCATATATTTTAAAGTGATTATTTGGAGTTGGAACTGGCATTGGTTGTTACTCAATTGTATTGTATTGTTACTTTAAATACAATATTTGTTTTGATTGTTATTTAAGTTTTATTTTATCGTATCGTTAAATCCGCCGTTACGTAACGATGAAAAAGTGTCACTTTATGGAACGACCGATTTGGTGTGGTAGCATTGTTACCTTATTTTTTTCTCTTATCTTGCCCTTCCTTATTATTAAATTAATTTATTTTTTCCTTTATCCTACTTTTTTATATAATAATTCTAGCCCGTACCTTACTTTTTATTTATAATATAGCAAGTTTATTCGCATGACATCGTGGAAACGATGACAAACAATACAATCTATCCAAACATTATATACATCAAAACAATACAGTCAGTATAATACAATGTTATACTATACATTATGAACCCATACATAACAACCATCCAAACAAGCTTTTAGGCGGTTGTACTAAAAGCAGAGAAAGTTGTACCTTTTTGGTCTTGACGAGGCAAAAATTGCCTGCATATTGTTAATTGTGCAGCTTAATGAGTTGTTCTCTCACTTCTCCTCCACCACCACCGTATTGTTCTCAATCTCCCTATCGTCTATCTCATATGTTAATTGTAATGAACTCAACCAGCACCACCTGCGAGCCATCCTTCTCCGCCGAAAGATAAACTCACTTCCATTTCGCTCTCTTCTCCATAGAAAAGCCGCCATCCACCAAGTCAATTCATGGGTCAACCGAAACAGGCTGACTAAGTTTCTCGTTTCCCTCAATTTGATCTTTGAGTTTTTGTTATTTAGAATCTTTTGGATCTAATCAATTTCCGAAAATAAAAAAGAAGAGTATTTACAGGCACTATTCCGGCAGGATTTGAGACTTCGCCAATCGGAAGTGCGACCGCTTCTACTGTTTGGTGCAGTAATAGTACAGTCTAACCATGGTTAGAAGGTTTTGGTTAATAAAATTAATCTGGTCCGTTAAATTTTGGTCAACACGTGGAGATATTTAAAGCCCTACTGGAGGAGATGCTTACGGTGGGACCAAAGTAAGGAATGGGCATCAATCTGGTGCAATGCAATTTATTCAGGACAGATACGCAACTTTTTTGAATTTACAGGTTTCTGGATTTCTGATGTCACACTAATTCATTTCATAAAGGCAGATATATAGTTTATCTCCGAAACGTATAGCCAAATCCTATGACATATTTTTCTCCAATAAAAATTATTTTATATACTTAATTTTTCTAAAGTGTAGCTAATACACATTTCTTTAATATTTGGCCACTTTTTCTGAGCAAGTGTAGTCACACACCAATAATAACATGACGTGTGATTACAGAATAACAACAATAATAGTAATATATTCAGTCAAAAAAAATTCCTCTCTAGCTTCTCTCTAGCATCAAAGGGTGCACTATGCACTACTGACAGCGGCGATCGGAAATGCCAAGAGGAAGGCCAGCACGAAATGGGAATAAGAAGCAGAAAACAGAAAAGTTGCGATTAGTAGCCAATATAGTCTCTCCGACGATGATAACGGCAGTCAAAATCCCCAATTTAAGCCCTATGAGGGGGGGGGGGAATCCATCAAGTCAACTATTGAAAACACCAAATCAGAGTCCCGTATTAGGAAGTATGCCGACTAATGTGCCTAACCAGTCTGGAGGAGGAATCCCAACTGGAGCTCAAAGTGAGCAGAACCCTATGAATGGAGGGAAGCTCAAGGCGGCGATGGTGGAAAAACTAGAGGCTATTGAAAATCAAAAGGTGGTACCATCAACTCTTTGAATAGCCCGTTGAAATCGGGAGGGAGGGGGGGGGGGACATGGTCAAATCTCCTAATTGGTAACAAATTGGCAGCGAAGGGAATTAGCCTAACATACATCCCACTAGTGATGATTGATGGGGAACGGGTAGTCCAATTGCAAAAGGAAGAGCTTGCGGAAGAAATAGAGAAATGGAATAGGGCACTGATCTTATATGTGGTGGGCGACTCTCCGTCAATTGGAGCTGTGGGAAGATTTATTGCAATGAACTGGAACTTTGCTGCAAAATCAAAGGTATACTATCACAACGATGATTACTTTGTCATCCAGTTTGCTAATCTTATAGACAGGGATGCAGTTTTTTACTCTGGGCCTTATTCTACTAACAGCAAACCTGTAATTGTCAAACTATGGTCACCTGAATTTAACCTAGGAGATGAAGTTCTGCGTACCATTCCCTTGTGGGTTCAATTGCCTAACCTACCTTTAAATTGCTGGGTTTTGAAGACACTTAGTAGAATAGGAAGTGGACTGGGTAGACCCCTGTTTACTGATGCTTGTACGTCAGGGGTGGATCGCATATCATATGCTAGGATCCTAGTGGAAATTATGTCACAAAGGAATTACCAGCAAGTGTGAAAGTGCAGGATCCAAATGGCAAGATGTTCAGTCAACCAATTGAGTATGATTGGAAACCATTATACTGTCACACTTGCCTCCAAGTAGGACATAGCTGCCAACAGGAGCCAATAAACAATCAGAACAATCATAGACAAGTCCAGACAGATTCAAAACAGAAGCAAGTTGAGCTACCGATCAAAGAGAAGCAGCAGAAGCCAAAGGTAGTAAAGGCAATATGGCAACAAAGACAAGCATTGCAAGTGTCGCACATCAATGACCCTAGTCAAATCTCACATGTGATGCAAATCACTAATGAAAGGCAGGACACAGGGAAACAGAGGGCTAATGCAGATTGGTAATAGCAAAGGGAATATCAACAAGTAAAGGAGCCTCATCTTCAACCGATAATTCTCTTACTACTACCAATGGGTTTGATTGCTCAAGGACCCAAGCAGTTTAGGCAAATGCAGAACTTGCAAAGGAGAAAGTTGATCATGTAGAAGTTCTGAATCCCCAATCATTTCCTCCATTATGATGAAGATAGTAACATGGAATGTTAGAGGAGTGAATAAGGTATATAGGCAAAAGAAATTGGGGCAGTTTATTATGATGAATAAGGTTGGTATTCTGGCAATAATTGAACACAAAGTCCAGGAGCAATATGCACTACCTATAGTCAAGAAGATAGCTAAGACATGGAAATGGTGTAGCAGTTATCAAAGTAATGGGAAGGGAAAATTTGGGTACTGTGGGATCCAATCCAATGTGACTTCAGTCATATTGCTAATAGTACACAATATATACATGGGATGGTGAAAACAACTCGTGTGGAGTTCAGTCTAACTGCAGTTTATGGGCTACATACTATCAATGATAGAAAGGCATTATGGCAGGAATTAAGAGGATACGTAGGAATGCAACAGGGACCATGGCTACTGATGGGAGATTTCAATGTTATAACTAACATTGATGACAGATTGAATGGGAACCCAGTCCAAGAATCAGAAATCAGAGACTTCAATGAGTTTATGCAGGATGGCTCTATTACTGAACTTAAAACAGTTGGTCGAGACTTTACTTGGACAAATAACCAGGTGTATAGTAGAATAGATAGGGCCTTAGGGAATCCGGAATGGACGCACAGATGGCCACAGGTTGAAGCTATCATTCTTGATCCCTTATTCTCAAATCGCTCTCCCCTCTGTGTCAATATATGCACAAGGCAAAGGAAGAGGGCAAAGCCTTTCAAATTTTACAATTACCTGGAAGACCATCAGAAATTCTCAACAAGAGTAGAGGAACATTAGGGAGATGCAGGACAAAGTACTACACTACAACAAGTATATAAGCAACTGCAAGCAGTGAAACAAGGAATGAAACAGTTATCTCAAGGCCAATATAATGGACTAGTAGAAAAAGTCAACAGAGCAAGGGAACAATTGCATGACCTACAAGAACAAATGAGAACCTACAACCAGCATTGTCGGTTATTTAAAGAAGAGAAAAGCCTAAAACCGCAATTAGGGAAATGGTTTGCTATAGAGGAGGGCATTGTTAGGCAGAAGTCCAGAGTACAATGGCTAAAACTGGTTGACTCGAATACAGCTTTCTTCCATGCCTGTGTAAAAAATAGAGAAGCTCAGAACCACATAAGCAGCCCTATGATAGAGGATGGGGTGATTGTGCAGACAGAGGAAACAATAGAGAAAGAGATACTAAGGTTTTATAAACAACTGTTAGGAAGTGCAAGGAACCAGTTACCTAGTATTGATCCTACAGTAATGCAAGAAGGTAAGGTGCTCAACAGGGAGCAACAACTTCGATTAATTGCCCTTGTGACCAAGGAAGAGATTGTCGTAGCAGTTCAGGGGAATGATAGCCATAAAGCACCTGGTTGTGATGGGTTTAATTCCTTGTTTTTTTTAAAAAGGCTTAGCATATTATAGGCAATGATGTTACCAATGTTGTCATGGACTTCTTTGAAATAGGTGAAATGCACAGGCCAGTAAATTGTACTACTGTAACACTTATCCCAAAAGGTGAAACAACCCTCGAAAGTGAAAGAATACAGGCCTATCTCATGTTGCACATGATTATACAAGATCATCCCCGAAGTTATTACTAGCAAGCTATAGAAGGTGATGGATCACTTAGTGGACCACAGTCAGGAAGCTTTTGTACCTGGGAGAGTCATCACAGGTAACATAATCCTTAGCCATGAACTGGTAAAAGGATAAAATAGGAGTGGAATATCCCCAAGGTGCATGCTAAAGATAGACATGTAGAAGGCATATGATACTTTGGAGTGATCCTTCTTAAAACAAATATTGACTGAGCTAAAGTTCCCAGCCACTTTCATTAAGTGGATTATGATATGTCTTAGTACAGTAACCTACTCAATCAACATTAATGGCTGTTCAACCAAGCCTTTTGAAGCAAAAAAAAGGGTTGAGGCAAGGTGACCCAATGTCCCCATTTCTTTTTGTGCTAGCTATGGATTACTTGAGTAGATTACTGAAAAGATTGAAGAATAAAGTTGAGTTCAAATACCATCCTAGGTGTAAAAAGATACTGGTGGTGCAGCTAGACTTTGCTGATGATTTATTATTGTTCTATAGAGGGGACTTAAGCTCTGTTAAGTACCTATTTGCTTGCTTTCAGCAATTCTCACAAGCCTCAAGCCTGGTTACTAATGTAAGCAAAAGTTCGCTATACTTTGGTGGGGTAAATACAACAGTGCATCAATAGATCAATGATCTACTGGGATTCTCAAAAGGTGAATTGCCAATAAGATACCTAGGTCTTTAAGTACCAAGAGACTATCCTTGGTACAGTACCAACCTAGTAACGACCCGACCGGTCGTTTTGAGCAATTGCACTTCGCTCGGTTGTTTGAGGGCATGAGTAGTTCCGTATGATGTATTATGACTTATGTGAACTGTCGGTTTTTGTTTTCATGTTATTCGAAATTGATTTGGAAGAATGATTCTCAGCTAGAAGCTTTAAAATTGAAAGGTTTGACCAAGTTTGACTTTTTAGTATTTGACCTTGGATTGGATTTTTGATGGTTCCGTTATCTCCGTTGGGTATTTTGGACTTAGGAGCGCGTCCGGATTGTGATTTGGAGGTCTGTAGTGGAATTTGGCTTGAAATGGCGAAAGATGGAATTTTGAAAAGTATGATCGGGAGTGGACATTTTGATATCGGGGTCGGATTCCGATTCCGGAGTTGGATCAGGTCCGTAATGTCAAATGTGACTTGTGTTCAAAACTTGAGGTCAATCGGACGTGATTTGATAGGTTTCGGCATCGGTTGTGGAATTTGAAGTTTCAAGTTCATTTATTTTTGGATTGAGGTGTGATTCGTCATTTCGATGTTGTTATGTGTGATTTGAGGTCTCGAGTAGGTCTGTATTATGTTATTGGACTTGTTGCTAGAACTTCAGATGATAGAGAACCAACACAGGGACCTGATCCCTTGTGTTCCCTGACAGCAGTACGAAGTCAACTGTGTACAGCTGGAAAGTGACTGCCTGCACTGTACACAGAAACCGTGCAGCGCAGTTCTGCAGTCACTTGTCCTTTGACCAACCAAGTGATTACATCATTCAAGTGATGTCATCCAAGTTGTATTAACAAGAGTATTACAACAAAATATCACTTGAACACTTGAGAATTCACGTCAAGCATTCAAGCTGTCTGATATCCGAGCATTCAATTCTCAAGTGCATCAAGAACAAAGTTTAACACTACTACGGACCAGTTCCTAAATCTAGTATCTTATTTTCCTT